AAACAGCCCTTTGTAGCATCTCTGGTGGCCCATTTGTTTTTGTTTTTGTTTTATGAAAGTCAGGGGGGAAATTAAAGGGTATGTGTGAGGGAGGACGCCTCCAGCAATGCCAGAGCAGACAAGCACAGTAGCAGAATTAAATGCTAATTCAACTCCTTGCTGTAACATCTTCCAGCCACAGCTGAGCATTCAAGGAGGGCGAGGGGTTTTTTGGTTTGGTTTGGTTTGGTTTTTCTGCCCTACACATTCCTCTTTGGCTCCGTTTGTCTTCATCTTTTCCTTCATGAAGATAACCCCTATTGCTTGCTCAGACTCTGCGTGACTTGGAGTGTGTAAGCAAGGTTGTGAATACTGAACGCTGTGCCTTCTCTCTTTTAGTTTGCTTTGTTTTATGTCCTCACAATGGGCTTCTCTGCCCTTTTATAGTCCCATCTCATCTCAGAAAAACAGCAGGCAATATTTTCTCCATCAGTGCATCCAGACAACAAGACCACCACCAGATTTCTACATCAGGAACCCACCAAGGCTGGTTTAACAAAACCCCTGCAGGTATATTCAGCCTACAGAAAAGGCTACTAAAGGGAGATATTATAGTCATTTTCAAACACTTGAAAGGTTGTCACACAGGAGGAGGAGGAGTGGGCCTATTCTTTGTTGCCCCAGAGGGCAGGACTAGAACCATGGATTAAAACGACAAGGAAATAAGTTCAAGCTAGACATCAAGAGGAACTTTCTGACTGTACAAGATGTCAGCCAGTGGAACAAGCTGCCAGATGAAGAGGCAAGCTCTTCATTAGAGGACTTCAGACAGAGTCTGGATGGTCATCTGTCAGATGCTCTAGTGGATCTAATTTTGATCCCTTCCAACTGCATGATTCTAGGCCATTTATAGCAAGTAGAAAACAAGACATGAGCAGGTGCATAATAGGTCCTTTAGGACCAAGCTAGATTTGTGAGAGATATGAGAAGAGGGCGTTGAAGGCTATAAAATTTGCCTCCAAGCCCAACATGACAAGAGAGAAACAATCCATAACATCTCCCTTCTCCATCCTCATTCCAGCTCAATGAAAGAAAATAAGACTTCTGGAAGATCGTGTTTTTCAAAGCACATTTTTACTTTGTCAGCATTTCTCCTGGGAGTTAGCCTTTTCTCCCAGATGAAATGAAAAACCCATCCTCCCATCCTCTGCACATAACATAAACTTCTGGAGAGATACTATTGTTCCCTCAGACAAATGCTCATTCAACGTTTTGTGATGTGTATGTGATTTGAAGTGAACTTTGCTCTTTGCATGCTCTTATAGCGCTGTCATAAGGCAGGCAGAAAATAGGTTTCTGGAACGCAGCAAAGCAGCATTGCTCAAGGATGGAACTAGAGTCCTTGAACTCTTTCACAACTGAATAGAAGCTGAGGCACATCCTCTCCCCTAGACCAGAGAGGTTACACTGGCAGACTGGAGACCACTCCATGGGCCAGACTGCAGTTGCCGCGAAACACCACACTGGAATCCCACTAGGCTTTCTTCTTTCAAAAGCCCTCTGTGGGAAGGTGGAACGAGACAATCCTGGGTCCTTCCTCTGAGTCCTTGAATTAATTTACCTTCTCACTGGCTACTTACTGGGCTATGTGAAGTCACTTCTTCACTACTTCCCTCTAAAAAGTTAGGAAAAAGGGAGGCAGGAAACCTTTTTTTGTGTGGGGACACTTTCATTTCCTCAGAGGAAATCTGAGGCTACATGATGGGTGAATCCAAGGCAAATAATGGATTAGACCATCCACTCTTTCCTGTTCCTAAGCTCTCACAGAAGTATGCAATTACCACTAGTACTATTATTGCTGCTATTATAATGGTTGTCATATTTTCTCGTTTTCAAAGTCACCAGGGGTTTAAAAATTAGACCAGACATTGCAGTGTTGATTCCCTCTCTGCTCTCCACAAACCTACCTATTTGTCTCCCTGCTTATAGCTCTCAGGGACACAGGGCACCCAACCCTGCTCTGAAATAACTCACCTTTTAATGCACAGGCACACAGGCACCAGAGTGCTGCTTCCACACTTTGAGGACCAGCTCTAGCATGAGGGGAACCCAAACAAGGGAAGCACTGAAGCCTCTGATTTTCTACCTGCCCAACTTTAAAAAAAATTGGTGGCTGGTGTGGGTCTTCCGGGCTGTGTGGCCGTGTTCTGGAAGTTTTGTTTCCTAACGTTTCGCCAGCATCTGTG